TTTTTTTTTTTTTAATAACTGATAAAACCTAGGCATTCACAAAATTACTAGTACAGCCCCTTAATTTATTTCTAGTCTTTAAACGTGGGTAACAGACCCAAACATTTATAGGTAACAAAAGGGAACTTCGGTTCAGCATTCATACGTCCTTGAATTCAGTACATAAATGGCAATAATCCATAAGCCCTTAAGGTCGTTTTTTTTTTTTTTTTTTTTTTTTTTTTAATTGCCAAGTGTCCAGGTGTTTCATGCAAAAGCAGCAGGGGCTACTGATTTCTGCTGGAATCTTTCCAACAACCAAATTGTAAAGAATTTCTAGGCACTTTTGCTCTATTTTTCTTGCCTCACTATATCAGCAAAGCTTTATGCACGATTCCCATACTCCAAAAATGAATATACCACTGCCAAGTCTCAAATATCAGTGTTTAATCAAATGAAATGAATTCAGTTCACATTCCAAAGGAAGGCTTCAAGATCTTTTATTTAGAACCACAGAGTTGGTTAAAAAAATGCAGTCATTCGGGAACGTTGAAAAAAATTCAGTAGGAAGTTTTCAGATGTTATTTTGTTAAGGTCTAAAGCTTGGTCTAAAGAAGTGTTAGTGACTTTGTATTCTTGTCTCATTAATCTATTTCATCGTGTTTATACCAGCTCAGGATGGCTCATTATAGCTAATTCATTGAACGATCTTCAAGGCATAATAGGGATACTATAAATACCATCTCCTCCTTCAAGGCTACCAGATTCATTGTTTCCAGTACTATGCTCTGATATTAATAAACCTGTAATTGCAAAGGACAAATGCAGGAAAAGAGAGAATGCAAGATTTAAAATATCCTGGGAAACAGCGGCATTCGTGGCAGCTGTTTCTGTGCAGACTGCAGCAGCAGCAACCATTCCCACCCACCACATCTGTCTCGCAGCATTCCGGCTTTAGAAACAGATTTTACTCGATACATCTCAAATAAAAAAAAAGTTTTCCATGCTAGCTTTAAATGACACCCACACCGCATGCACCTCATTGTAAACATTTTTTCCAGGTAGACAGCCTTAGCTGCCATAGAGAGAGTGCAAAAAATGACCCAGGAGAACAAGAGATGAGAAGACCCTGCTTAACTTTTCTGAAGTCACTAGCGGACAGGCATCCAAATTTTGTAGCTACGTAGTAACATTCACTTACTAACACAGGTATGGCAACTACCTAGTGCATTACCAAGGAGGAATATTTAAGATGCGATATTTGGTTTAATGCCAGAGCTTACACACCGAAAGACTTTTTAAAAATACTGCCTATTTTGACTACCACTGGGCATTACCAGCTTTATAGACTCAGTATCAACATGCAAATTAGCTTTTCCTTTATCTTCTTGTCTATTTATAACTGATCATTTCTCTGAGAACCATCGACTTACTGAGGCACCAAAAAAGCGAGATGCTTATGTTACATCACTGATCCCATTTTTAAATGCACTACAAAAAAGTAAGCCAATTACAAACAACTGGACTTCCTCCGACAACGCAACTCCAGTTACCAAAAAAAATCCTTCTCAAAAAACCCCACCGTTTTTTTACAATATATTTTTATATCACTGTTGCATTCTATAAAGAAGGTAACATAACAGGTCATTTAATAGCATACAGAGAGTTAAATTTCATGTTCAGTGACATCAATGGCAAAATATTTACAATGACTCAGTATAACCAGGGTTCCCTGCAGTTCTTAGAGGATCATGTAGTGCTTCTCTCCTGATATTTTAGAGTTATGTGGTAGCCCTACTAGAAAGGATCTTGCAAAAAATGAAAATTACACACAGAATAGTTAATATTTTACTTTGTTTACTCACACTACCCTGAATCTTAAAAAAAAAAACCAAACATAAAACCTAAAATTTTTATTCCTGTGCTTTTATAAGTAAACGAAAGGTGGGTAGGGGGAGACGATACCAACCCCTAACAGGATATTCATTAAGGGAGAAGGAGTGGAAAACTTAAATACTACTTGCAAGTGTTTGTTATGGTTTAGCCTTAGCTGATGGAAACTCTTTCTTAAGTTGTTGCTATTTGTAAAGTAAACATTCAAGACACACTCATTTTTAATGCAAAGCAGAGATCTTCCAGACTGCACTGCTAACTGAACTCTAGTTGGCGTTAGCCATGG